AACGTAGATTTAAAACAACTCGTTTAAACTGATCAAAAATACTTATTACGCACTTGTTAGTTGTCTGAGGATGTATAATCATTTATGTAACTAACCAAGTTTGAATTAATTGGTGGACTACTTTCTACGTCTAACGAGGAATTATTACTGTTGGTAGATGTAGATGAAGTATCCATTGCGTAGTTAATATTTTGATTATTGTATTGAACATCAGACATACGTTTAGTATAGTGATTCGGAAAGGCTTGTGTAAATGTTGAAAGTGGTTGTTGAGATGTAGCAGCTTGTTGGAGTCCAAATGGGTGTTGAGTAAAAGGTAATGTTTGATAACTATTTGGAGGATTTAACTGACAACGTGGATCAAAATCAATTCTTTGTGGTTGGAGTGCGAGGCTATGACTGATAACATTTATTATATTTGATTTCACTTGCATTTTCAAATGAGGGGGGACTTTTTTTAAATCACCCACTAAAGATAACAAAAATAGTCGATCTTGATCCTCCATTGCTTCTTTTTCCATTTGGTTTCTAAATTCTAAACTTCTGGCTATAGTTCCAAACAAATTTTCTTCAGATTCATTATGGTTTGATTTTGATTTTTTTTTTTGTCTCTGATTTCTGCGAGTTTGAGATTCTTCTGTCGACTCAAAAAAATGTTCACTATCTTGAGTATTTTGTTCTGTGCCCAATTCATCATTATCATCATCATCATCATCATCATCATGTGTAGGAGTGACATTAGATGTAGTTGGTCTATTTGTTGCACTTGATCCAAGAAATGATAACTGATTATAAAATACGTACGTTTTCCAAGATGATTGACCTGAGCCAGACTTAATATTTTTTCTTCGAGATTGCTCGCGTGCAAAACAATTCCTAAGACTTTTCCATTTTCTTTGTACTTCCTTTACTGTAATAAACAAAATAATAATAAATCTAATATTTATGGTTAATAGTAAAATTTTAGATTTTACAATGACGAGTGTTTTTTATGTTGGTTAAATTTTTTTTTCTAAGAGCTTAAGTTAAAATTTTAACGAAATATTTCAAAATCGTTAATTCACAAACAATTTTATAATTGATAATTCATTAAATTTTTGGTTTTTGTACATAAGGTAAAAAACTTCAACACAAAGTTATTCATAAGTTGTTATTCAATTAACTATAAAAAAAACTTGAGCTTCAATTTAGAAAAAAAATGTATGAACATTTGAATTTTAAATTTGCATGATATTACGTTAAATAACGATTTACTATCAAACGAATTTTGATTTTTGTTATTATTAAAAAAGTAACAGTTGAAGAAGCTTTACATTTTTACCATTTGTTTAAAATTACACTATGATTTAAATACTATATATAAGTTCTCAAGTAGCTATTAAATATAATTATTATTTTTTTAATGATTATTGTATAATTTCATACTATATTTTTTCTTATTAGATATCTTGCCACCGGATGTACACTTACTGAATTACACTACAATTATAGAATTGGAATTTCAACTTTAAGTGGAATAATTCAGGAAGCGTGTGAAGCAATTTGGAATAATCTCAAAGACATATATATGGCTGAACCAACCAATGACAAATGGTTAGACATTTCTGAACACTTTATGAATATGACTAATTTTCCGAATTGTCTTGGCGCAATTGACGGGAAACACATCCGAATTGTTAAACCAGCTCATAGTGGATCCCAATACTACAACTATAAGCATTTTTTTTCAATGGTATTATTAGCTGTCTGTGATTCCAATTATTGCTTTACAGCAGTTGATATCGGTGATTATGGAAAAAACAGTGATTCTTCCATATTTAAAAATTCCAATTTTTTTAAAAAGCTGATAAAAAATGAATTGAATATACCAGATAATTCTATACTACCAGGTACTAGTGGACCAAAGCTGCCATATGTCATTGTTGGGGATGAGGCTTTTGGATTATCTCAACATATTATGCGCCCATATGCAGGGAAAAATTTAACAATAAAGAAAAGGGTATTTAATTACCGCTTGTCTCGGGCACGTCGCTTAATTGAATGTTCGTTTGGAATTCTCTACAACAAATGGAGAATATTTCACAGGCCTTTAAACGTATCAGAAGACTTTGCTGAAGACATAATTAAAGCTTGCGTGATACTTCATAATTTTGTTCGTATACGAGATGAAAATACATTAACATTCGAAGATACATTATCATACCAAGGATTCACAAGTATGAATGAAATATTAGATAACACAGCTGGAAAAACACCAACTAGTATTCGTGACCATTTTGCTGATTATTTTATGGATGTAGGACAAGTACCATGGCAATTAGATAGTATTTAAAAATAATTCATATATATAGTTTCAATTGAAATTAACTATGACGTACTTTAATTTTATGTATGTAG